GGGGGGGAGGGGGGCGGGACGGGAGGAAGGGTACGTCACGCGCGTGGCGTCACACCTCGCGCTCCAGGCCCGAAATGACGTCACATCACAGCTACACCTTGACACACAAAAAAAACCCCAACCCCGCAGCTTTTGAAAGTTCCCCGTAATGAAGTGGAGGAGGGCAAATCAAACACGGGGAAAACACCCGGTGCCCACAGGGACCAGCGAGCCAGCGTGACTGGGCTACAGCTGCTCCGCCATAACTTCGCTTTTAATCTTTTTTTATTTTATTTTTTCCCCTTGCACAAAAGGATGAGAACGCCGACACCCCCCAGGCACCATAAAAGAGAAGGGAGCAAGCTGCAGGCATTTAAAAACCGCCTTATAAAAGAATACCACAGCTCCCTCAAAATACTTAAAACAGAGCTGACTTGGGTACAGCTCGTTGAAACAGTTTTTTAAAATAATATCCCAGCCCTCTACAGCAATGTTTTTTTTTTTCTAGTAAAAAAAAAATCTTACAATCACAATTACATTCCCACATTCAAATATATTTACATGAAGAAAGAAAAAAACTGAGCAGACCTGGTACCTAAGGACAAAATTACATTTATCACCCCCACAATAGGTCAGGTATGGCAGTCTCATGAAGATGACGACATGAGCAGGGCAAAGTCGGTTAAACAGTGAAGTGTTTGTGTGGTAAAAACTGTATTATAAAGCTATCAACAAAAAAGCTGAGCGAAGAGAAGTAGCTTTAACCTCAGCTCTTCACTGGTTTGGAGTTCTTTGATTTGAATTTAAAGATTGGATGCACTTCTATGTAATTATGAAAACAGTGCACATAACCTGTAATTGAAAAAGGTGACTCACAGAGCTAACCACCTGGGAACAGGTTGCACCACGAGGAGGCTTTCAAAACTACTTTCTAAACAGATGGACTTACCCTGCAAACGGTCAGACAGTTTGCAGTCCCGTCTGTTATTTTGTCCACTGTAGGTTTGTTTCTTCACTATATGTGCTACGACATCAATCTTGCTCAACGTTTTTAAAAAAAAAAAAATATCACAACTTGGGAAACCATCCATGTCTATTAAGATCAGCCCAGATTTACTTCTCCTATATATAACATATAGTCTGTTTATTTTCCTCTTCAATCAGTTGTTCTTTTTGCCTCTGGCTAAAACCCATTCTATCACACTATGTAATTTCTGTTCCTCCTTGGTATTGTGGCATGAGTTGTGGCATTTTGGCATAGAGATACTCATGGCCACTTGGATAGTACCTGCTTCCTTAAAAGCAAATAAAATACCCTAGAGTAATATGGTGAGGGGACAGAATGCAAAAAAAGCATAGACAAATTCAGAAAAATGGTTGCATCGGTATATAAAAGTATATAAACTTTGAATTCTTTCAAGTCAGGAAGAAAACTTACTTTGGATTTCAGTTGAAATAGAAAACACTCATGATTCTGTACTGTCCCATGGCAATCCACAGAACATGCTACCGCTGAGATGTTCGTATATCATATCACACATTATCAGTGCAAGCTTGACAGTATGTCAGAGAACTAAAAAACAGTTTTTGAATTAACTCATGCTGAAGGGAAGAAGTTTAGTTCTTCTTTTAAAAGGAAAAAATATTCCTGTCAATACTGAAGAAAACTGTCAAGTTTTATTCAGTTGATACTGTAGAGACCACGTTCAGTTACCACTAATGCGTTAGTAGAATTAGCTCTTTATATTTCAAACATTTTTCATTTCTAAAACAAAAAATTGTAAACATCACCTCTGATAGCATAAGCAAACTGTGTCATTTTTTCAAGTTTTTGTAGTTTTGTTGACTTTTGTGGAATTTAGGGAAGCTTAGTATCTCAAAGTAGCATTAAAAACTGTGGGAACGATCCACGGCTGCATTGCACTGGCATCACATTAGGCCTATCTCACTCGTTAAACCAGTTATGCAAATACCTTTGTTTCAAGGAGAGATAATCCGGTTGCTTAAAGGCTGCATTTGGAATGCCCACAGAATGAAGGAGACCAACAAAATGTCATCCCAAGCCTGCTTCAAATCATTCTGCAGAACCTGACCCAGGATGTTAAGGGGGAAAAGTGTATCTAATCACCTGTGGCCATATGCAGTCACTACCTCTCATCACAGGCCAAAAATGTGGACAAATCCCCACACGTGGCCACATCTGTAAGGATAAAAAAGATAAACCATTTATAAGAGAATGCTTTCATATTATCCATTATCTGTAAAATATCTGCAGTTCCACTACTCTTACTGACTGAAGAGTATTTCTACAATAGCTAGAGCGCTTCAAGATAATCATTCTGTTGGTTTCTGAGTTTACGTCTCTTCTAGAAAGCTTTCACTGCAAACAGATCAGATTTATAGGACAGTTTTCTCTGTATTTGCCTGACTAGCAAGTTTCACAGAGATCACTATGTCTAAACAACCTTAGTAGCTCAGATGCGGTTCATTTTCAGCTCCACAGAAAGAAGAGATTTTGAATCTGTGCTAAAAAAGACGACAAGTTTCTTCAGTTCTACTAGACAATAGGAATATTTTTCAATTTATTATTCAGAAACCTAAGTGAAGCTTTTGAGTCTATACACATCAATGTACTGCGAACACCCAGAGAACCCATTCAAAACTGAGATCCGTCATTAGTTCACACAGTGTTCAAGGATAAAATGGTTAGGATACTAAACACTATTGGTAAGACTGAAAAAGTAAGACTAGACTGAAAGCTTAGATAACCAAGTATCCTAGGAAAAACGTCTAGCTCTGTTATAGAGCTAGAGCTGTTATAAAAGAATATATAGATAGATAGACAGATAAATAGCTCCAAAGAGTAACACCAAGTTAACCTTTTCAAAGTAGAGATCTTAAAAAGCAAAACAAAAATCAATTACCTGATGCACAAGTTTAGCAAGTTATTTCAACTGCATCTCTTTTCCAATCTCCTCCTGCACATTGCCCTATTTGAACCACACCTGCTCCTTTTAGTCTTCTCACCTTTCTGAAGTTGTGCAAGTCTTGAGCAGCCTGTCAACCAGCCGCCCATTTTCAATCAGTACTCATTTAGATCTTTTTTTCTGTAGCCTGACATACAAGCAAAAATGTAGACAATGAAATTATAGGACTCACTTTTTCCAGATTATTCATAAAAAAGAAAGGAATGTTAAAACGTGTATTTTGCTTTAATACCCTTATGCAATCAATACAATTGATTATGAATTGAATAAATAACTTAATTTCCTCAGAGCTTTCTTTCCCCATTAAAGTAACCACAAGATTGAAAGGATTAAAAAAACCCTCCCAAGACTCAACAGATATAGTGATGTCAGCTAGTGACTGGTAGACTAAATCAAGCTAGTATAAAAGTCAGTTAAATTATTAATACATCTGTTTTTCTACCAAGAGAATAGTTTTCAAAATAGCATGACCCAAAAAGCGAAAATTAAACCCCTTCTTTCTAAAAGTTAATAAGATGTGAAGATTCTAACAAACATCAAGGAAACGTCTTCCCAACTTGTTCTGAGCAAGAAAAAAAGAAGCGTGCTTCAATGGATACGCTACAAAAAGTTTGGGTTTTAAGTTTTATTTTATTTTTTAAAAAGATCCCTCCTCTGGTTGAAATCTGACACAAGAGAGGTTGAGACTCCATTAATTCTCATAACAGTAAATTGATTCCCTCCATGAATACACATTGTAAGCAGAAACCGTACATTTGATACCAAAAAACTGTTTTTCCTATGTATTTTATATTTCAGATTTGTTTGCTTTTTATTCAACAATAGAAGTCATTTCCAAATGTAGCTAATTTTCTTCGATGCCCTTGGTGCATGGGGAAACGTCTCAGGAACTTGTTCTGTTTTAAACCCAGTAAACCTAGTTCCAAGTTTCTCATTTGTCCTTCAAACTACTCTTCTCTTCTGATCAGCATTTGAGGATCTAACAATCAAGTAAAAATGATTCTCTGCACTATCTTCCAAGACCTGAGCACAACCACTTAAATTCTTGGCTCTTATTATGAACAACAATAGGAATTCAGAGGTTACTTTAAAATCCAAGGTTCCAATGTATTATACATCTTTACAGCCACTCTACCTCAATAAAATTAGGTTTTTCTTTCTTAAATTTTTCTTGTCAGAGTTTTGTTGTGGTGAACAGAATTCTAAAAACTCAAAGCTGACAAATGCAATTAAGGGAGAAACACTGAAAGCTTTGCTAATACATAATGGCTGTTGAAGATCTCTGTAGAGACAGTCAAGCTGAAACTACTGGATCAATTACACAAATGCATGTGTGCTACTTCTAATACTTTTGAGTACCTTTAAAATAAGAAAGAAAAGATGTTTTAACGATTAAGACAAGCTTTAGTTAATTTTATCCACTGCTTTAACCCTCAGAAGCTCAACATGTTGTACACATTCTGTAAGTTTTAATTATTTTTGCTTCACTAAAAGAACAGTATTCCAATGCAGAACTCTCAAACATCAACATGAAGAAAACACTACATACTTTGAACAGTCTTGATGCTTTTATGGCTTCTGATACACCAGAGCCCTCGAAGCTTATAGGCAGATCAAAATTTACCACCTGAACGGCAGTATAAAGAGTTAACTCCAAGAACTTAGCTAATTGAGACAATTAAGTCAGAAACTTTACTTCCTTGCCCCTCAATGGGGTTAAAACCCACC